GGGTGCTTTTAGCAGCCGGTCCTCTGGCCAAAGGCAAACACAAGCCGGGCGAAGCCGCGAGGCAGAGCTTTGTAGCACCGTGACCCACCTGGCAAAGCCCAGAGCCACCCCCAAGCCCGGAGCTGGTGGGAGCGTTTGGTGTCCTTTCTGAGCGAGGTGTCTCCTCCTCCAGACCTTCAGCAACCAACCTCCTCCTCCAACCATGGGGAAGAACCTTGGGGCCAGAGAGGGGCTGATGGGATGAACCTTTTGGGGTTTGAGGTAGGGCTTCCACCTGCAAGCACCAAGGAACAGGGGGAAGTCCAGGCGCTCCTTGGGAGGAGTTGGGGTTGCACCGCTCATGAGGGTCCCCAGCTCTGTGGGGTGGTTTCTGATGCCCCCTCCTCTCCATCTCTTGCAGTCTCCAGACCACAGACTTCCCCCGAGGACCTGAAGGCACTGATGGGGAACGTCAACCGCCTCAACGAAAGCTTTCGGGACATGCAGCTGAAGCTGCTGCACCTGCCTCTGAAGGGTGACGTTCTGGATCACATCTGGAGGCTCCAGGACCTCCTGCAGAACCACTCGGACTCCTTGTTCCTCATGACGGGGTCACTGCAGAAGCTGGAAGGGCTTCTCTGGAGCCTGCAGACCCAGGCTAGCCAAACCGACAAGGCAGTGTCCAACCTCTGGGACAGCTTGACCCAGCAGAGCGACACGGCTCAGCAGGAGATATACAAGCTCTCCGTGGAAGGCAACAGCAGCCGGCTGCTGCTGCAGCACCACGACCACCTCCTGAGCCACCTGGGCAGCAGGGTGGAGAGCCTGAGCGACCAGGTGACGGCTGTGAATGGGGCCGTGGACACCATGAACAGGACCTTCTCCTACGACGTGAATATCCACCATACCCGCATCCAGGACCTGCAGGTGCTGATCAGCAATGCCACCGAAGATGCCCGGCAGATGCGCCTCATCCACATAGCCATGGAGGAGCAGCTGAAGCACGAGCTGGCCATCCTCAACAACGTGACGGAGGACCTGCGGTTGAAGGACTGGGAGCACTCCATTGCACTGAAGAACATCTCCGTGATACGGGGTAAGCTGAGCACGCCTTGTAAGCAGCTCCCTCGCTGGTGCCTGACGCTGTCGTGAGGGGGAAGGTGTCCTCGGTGCTTTGGGTGGAGGTGGAAATGGCCCCTGTGGCATGGGGATGTCCTGTGGGGATGTTGCAGGTACTCTTTGGTGTATCAAATCCATCAGGCACTACTGTTTAGTTGTCTGCGGTGTTCAGGTGTCTCCATCACCTCGTACTCTTGGACTCTCCAAATGCTCCTCCATCCATGTTAGGAAGAAAGCTCCCAAGGTTGTCTCAAAGATGCCAGCAAAAACCTCTGCCAGGTCCCTCCCGACCATGAAAGTGAACCAGAGCGAGCACGGCAGAGACGGTGGGTTTTTGACCCTGCTTCATGCTGCAGTGATCAAGCAGAAGGCTGCCCACCAGCACCCTCAGTCATCATCAGTCACACCGTTTGCTTGACTGTACATCCCCTTTACTCCATTTTCCCCCTCCCTTCTTCTCCTCCTTTACCACCCTCAGCCCCTCCCAAGTCACAGACTCATAGAATCACAGAATCCCAGGAGGGTTTGGGTGGGAAGGGGCCGTCAGAGGCCTCTAGTCCCACCCTGCAGTGAGCAGGGACATCTTCACCCAGAGCAGGTTGCTCAGAGCCCCGTCCAGCCTGACCTGGGCTGTTTCCAGGGATGGGGCATCCACCACCTCTCTGGGCAACCTGGGCCAGGGCTTCACCACTCTCATCGTGGTGCAATGAAGAACCCATCCCTGCTAACTCTTGGCCATTGACTCTAGTCTTGCTGATCCCCCTTTTTTGGTATTTATATGGTTGCCTCAGTATTCCCCCCCCTCAGTCTGCTAAGCATCTACTACCTTTTTCTTCTGCAAGGTCCAGCCATTTGTCACACCATTATCTCAAGAGTGTAGCTGTATGGCCAGGGTCAACCATCTGCTTGGACATTTCTTCATCTCTGATGTCAGGAATTTCCAGCTGTTTCATATCTTACTGTCTGGCTGCTGTGGGATCACCAACTTCTCTGCATCCCACAGCGCTGGATCTCCGAGGACAGCCCAGCTCCAAGGGGACCAGGTCAGGTGGAGATGCTTGCGCCGGATAAAAACCCCATGTCTGCAGTGGTGGACCCCCATCCTCTGGCCTGATGTGACTGGGGAGCAGCAAGAGGAGGGTCCCTCTGTGCTGCACCAAGGGAGAGGTGGCTTTTGCTTCAAAGATCTTGCTGAAATAGGAGAGGGAGCAAAGGGAGCTGCACTCTTTGGGAGCAGCTTGGCTTCATGGGATGATGGGGAAGGGAAAGGGTCGGGTGCCTCAGGAACAGGGGCAGCTGAGCGGGGCTGTGATGGGAGCCAGCAAAGTCATGAACATCTTCGTGCCTTACGGCATAAGAGCAAGGGGACACCCGACGAAATGGTGGGCAGCAAGCCCAGGAGAGGCTCGGCCCTCTCCCACGTGCCACCTTTTCACCCAGCTGGAGCTCCTTGCTGCAGGACCTCATGGAGGCAGAAACCCAAGTGGGTCCAATCGGAGCTGGACAAATTCAGGCAGGACATATCGGTGGCTGTTAAATGCCATGACCTGATCACAGTCCCAGTGAATAAACTGGCCGTGGGAGGGGGAAAAGCCATGAAGAGACAGAGAAGAGCTTGGTGCAAGCTCTTGGGGGTGGAGCAAGAGGTCGGGGGCAGTTGCTGTCCCATTTCTAGGCTGTTGGTTCGCACCTGCGGAGATGCAATGGGATGTTGCTCGTTTCTGGTGCTTCCAGCTGAACTACCAGATGGGGAAGGAAGGGGCTGACGCCAAGGAACTTGCTCTCTCCGGCCATCTGCTGAGCCGAGAGGGGACAGATGTGGTTTGAAGCGCAGCAGCTACATCTCTCCCTCCAGGCCAACCACCACCCTTGGGTACCAGCAGCTCACTGGGGTCATTTCCCCTGTGCTTGGGGGCTGTTGGGTCCCGACGCCTGGTTCGGGGCTGCTGGGACCACGTTGCACCCACTGCTTGCAGGTTTTCATAGCTGCCCACCCCCCCATGCCCTCTCTTCCCCCCACGGCCATGGGGAGGACGTCACCCTCTCTCGGACGAAGCCACCGAGGAAGGGAACTGTCACGGAGCTCGACGCCCATGGGCCGTGTTACTCTAATGAACACGAGCAGAAAGCGAAAGCAAATCCCCTCCCGACGGGCACCTGATTTATCAGCCGCTGCTGCGACACGTTCCTGGCGGCCCCCCCCCCCCTCGTCCCCCCCCGCTGCCGGCAGCGGTGGGTCGCGGGTAATTTAGGAGCCTTGTTGCCCAGCTGGCTTTGCCCCGGCTCCGGACGCCTGTGGATGAATCCGCCACGCTCCCGGCCGGCTTTGCACCGGCAGAGCCCGTCCTGGGCTGCATGTTCCTTCCCCAGGACCTCAGCTACCTCAGGCTCTGGCTTTTTG